GGCGGGAGTGCAGGTGCGACAGGGAGTGGGAGGCAGCCGGGATGGGTGGACGGGAGTGCGGCGAGTGTTCTCAGCGGAGGAGGGGGAGGTGCATATGGCGGTTCCAGCTATGGTGGAAGAGGGAGCGGATGGATGGATGGCAGTGCTGCAGCGAGCGCAGGCCTCAGTCAGCCCGCGCCATACGTTTATAACGCGCCCCCGCCTCCGCCAGTGCCCTCCGTTCCTGGCTACGCCTACCAATCACCGAACATCGATCCGCCGCGTGAGCGACGGCGCGACCGAGACCGCCGGCATGAAGAACGGCGACGGCAGCGCGAGGAGGAGGAGCTGGCGCGCCACGGCGGCTTCGGCGGCGGCGGCCCGGAGAGCATCTTCTACCTCGGCGTGCCAGGGCAGGCGCCGTACTTTCTGCGGCCGGGCGAGAAGAGTCGGTTCCGCAAGCGGCGCGAGCCTGGGAGCAACCGGCGGCGCGAGGAGCGGAAGGAGATTCCGCCGCATCAGTCGAGGTTGCGCAGGGTCAAGAGGTTTTTCTGGGGGTAGAGTCGTCCAAATTGAGGCCAAATGGAGAGAGCCGAGGGGAGCGTTGGGAGGACATTCGTTTGATACTTTTCCTTTGTCAGATTGATTTTAGCGGATATGATATGGGCGTTGAGGTGCGAGCGGGTTGATACGGGGACGGTGAACTAGAGTCCTAGAGTACACGAATATGTTAATGTTACTGTTAATGGAAGTACGAGTATATAATGCTCACGTCATGAAACCAACCTTCTTGGCCTCGCCGTGATAGACGGGGTCTCCTTGCTTGTAACCTGCGCTTCCCACCTTCGCCTGTTTGGCACCGCTGGGGTAGGTATCTTTAGTCCATGTGAACGAGCACCTTTCTGGACTACATATCTGGAAAGCTACAGTCGTCAGCTTTCAAATCACATCCGCAAAGTGTAGCCGTGTCCACCTGATCAATTGACATGCAGCCCGTCAGAGTTACCAGACTTTAACCTCATCTCGCCTACACCTAGGTCTTACACGACACGTTCCTACCGTTTCTCTAGAGTACTCTAGACGCACCAGCACCTTGGTTCAGGTACGGGATACCGCAAATAGCCTGCACCCAGCCATCGTGAACCGGGTTGTATCCCTTCGTTGGATTTCAAAACCAACACTAATCTTCGAAGTAACCACATCAGTATTTATGTAATCTAGAGTATTGCTTTGTAGGATTTTTGGCAGAGAATACTAACCCCTGCTGGATTCTGCACTAAAAAGAAAGTGAGATTCGAAGGATGGGTTCCCTGGTTGGGGGTTTACTGGCGTGTTCGGTTCATCCCATAAGGTGTTCCTTGCAGATTAACCTAATGCAAAGAGCGCAGTTTGGGTATCGGTCTTCGTATCGGACGGGGTCTTCGGCGATAGCAGCTGGACTCTTTGCATGAACCGGTCGTTGAGTTCCCACGATGATCCCCACCAATCCTTCACCGAAAGTTGAAACACCTCGGTCCACGATCATCTATATTTATCTGTCGACGAGCCGAAAATCCATAGCAAAATTGAGTTTAATTCCCCATTGCTGGCTCGATGGCCTTGCAAATTCCGATGGCGTCGGGAAAAACACGGCTCGCCTAGGGCTGGATGGCGGCCCCCATGTCATCAGCGCCACCATGGCCATTATCACCGTGCAGGACACGGGTCATCACGTCGGTAAGAGCTCACCTGTGCATATGAGTGGAGCAGATAGTCGACATTGTGGAGGCGAGTTTCGCATAAATCAGTTTCTCTTGAGATTGTTGGTTAAGCGGGGTACATGCTATGCGCCGATCGTTGTGAGGTTATATTCACAACTTCACTTTCCAACATGCCGAGCAATTGTTGCGATCCTCAGCGGGCGGAAATTATCGTGAAGGACAGGAAGTGCTGCTGCTACTGCTACCCGTCGGCGTGTCGGCCACGTTTTTTTTCTAGCCTTGCACTTAGTTGTTAGTTAAATTATCACTAAGATTTCCTCCTTTCTAAAAAAGACCATGTTAACAACTTACGGAGTAGTAGTCAGCGGTGTGTAGCTTCGACTACAGCTGTTGCCACCATGAAGGTGGTGGCCACCAACCAACAAGCCAGGATCATCCCGATCACACCGCAGGAACGCCCCCGCCATGTAGACGCCACAGACGCACCTAACAAGCTCATCACGAAGCAGCATTTTTTTTTGCGTCTCCGCCATGGCAGCGCGTCGCGCGCACAAGCAAAGCTCATCTCTGTGCGCCTGGTCAATTGATATAAAGAGCTTCGCCTTCCTCCATTTGAAAGCTCACTCACTTACCATCTGCAAATTCCACATCTCACACACCATGCATATTCCCAGCCTCCTCGTCCTCGCTCTCTCTTCTCTCGCCCTCGCGGCACCACCCCAAACAAAAACGCGCCGAGCCACATACCCCGCGTTCTCTTCTCTCCCTCTCACCACACCCGGCCCACGCGGAAACGCCTGGGGACTGTACGGCGCCGACGACCAGCTGGGAACCCTCAACCAGCTGACGCCAGCTGTTGTTGCTGCTGCTGCAGGCGAGATCCAGACCGGCCACCGTGTTTCCCTCGACTGGCCGCTGAATGTTCCACGGCTGGGGTTCTTTGGACGCCCTCCAGTGGTGCACACAGTTATCCAGAATGGTAACAACAGTATGAGCGACACACTTGAGCTGAACACGCAGAGCAGCACGCAGTGGGATGGAATGCGCCACTATGGATATGCCGAGGAGAAGCTTTGGTATGGTGGACGGACACGGGATCAAGTGTTGACAGGAGATACCCTTGGGCAGAACCGTAAGTTACTCCGTGTGTGCATTGCAAAGGATACGAGCTGACATGAATAGACGTATCTGAGGCGGGCGGTATCACCGGCAGAGGTGTGCTCATCGACTGGGCACGGTGGGCAAAGGCAAATGGAAAGTCTGTGTCGCCATTCACAGCTCATCTCATTCCAGTAGAGCAGCTACGTGCCGCTGCAAGGGACCAGGGACTCAAATTAAAGGCGGGAGATATCCTGTTCCTGCGGACCGGATTCACCGAAGCATTCAACAAATTGACCGTGGAGGAGGAAAAGGCCCTGGGACAGCGCCCATCACCAGACTTTATTGGCGTCAAGCCAGCAAAGGACACACTGGAGTGGTTGTGGGAAAGTCGGTTTTCCGCCGTAGCAGGCGACGCACCGGCATTTGAGACGGCCAGTCTCGAGGGAGCCATGACTGAGGCAGAGTACGCCCTGCACGCTTGGTTGATTGCTGGATGGGGTATGCCCGTCGGTGAGCTGTTTGATCTTGAGAAGCTGAGCAAGATGTGTGAGGAAAAAGGCCGATGGAGTTTCTTTGTCGCCAGTGTGCCGCTTAAGGTGCCTGGAGGTGTCGCTGGGCCTGCGAATGCTGTGGCAATCTTTTAATTGGGAATAATCTTGTTTAATAAATTGAAAAGGCGTTCATGTTTTTGTATATATTTGTCTGAAAGATTTCTTGTTTAAGAGCCATTCATTATCGTGAGTTTATGACAAACAGTTTCGAAATTCGTAGTGCCCTTTTTGAAGACGGCGGTTCTCTAGTGGCGAGGACGGGTCGCTGCTCGACAATAAGTTGACAAACTAGCAAACTGAGAGTTCGCGAAACTCACATCCAGCTGAATCCAACAGTTTTTGTATCCTGGGCAAAAAGTAGCAAGAGAGTAGTGTCGATTTCAGCTGTTCGTGATTCATCCCTTGTTCTTCAGGAGACGCAAAATAAGGATGGATTGGCAGGAAACTAGCTAACGGTTAGCGATTTCAAAGTCCATCAAGCAGCAAAGTGACTATTTCAGTGCAGTACTGCTTCAACACTGCCCAAGGGAGCAATTGGTAGCCTCAACCCCACCTAGTGGAAGTACCTCGCAACAGAGAGCTTGATTCGAACAATTTCTTACCATCGGCTCGGAAGCAACTAGGAAGTAGCACGCTAAGCTAATGTGTATCAGTAATCGAACAGACTACGGCCTTTGGATAACCAGCGACGACTCAGACTCCAATCAGAGTTGCTGCAATAAACTTCGAAGTAAAGGCAATGAAAAAAATAGAGCCATGTTGATGATGAGAGAACGATCGTGTGTGGTTTACGGGAAGAGAAAGAAAAGAGCAGCAGCAGCAGAAGAAGGGCGACGAGATTCCGCCAGGAGACCTGATCCCATGCAAAACCGAGTCACCACCGGTGCAGAATTACCACTGCCAACACGCCGTGCTTTCATGATCGAAGAACGAGAACCGGAAGCAAAGTCGAACAGCAGTCTTCTGGTGGAACATCTGTAATGTCCGAAAAATGCAAGATACCAAATAATTCATTCCAAGGGCCGCTTCACCGTTTATCATTCATGATTCATCGTTCTCTGACAATCAATTATGGTACCACCAAGGATTTTTTTTACAAACCGGCTCAATCCTGCTCCAAATCAACGGATTTAAACACAGCGCTTCTGGCTGCTTAGTTACGGCAATATATTTCCGAGCCAATCCTGCAAACTCTAGCCGCAAAAATATGCACCAAGCCACGACCACTCCAGCCGCAAAATTCAAAAAATAATGTGCGGTCACCAGGAATCGGACCTGGGTCTAGTCGGAGCTGCTACCCGAAAGTACACCACAACGACTCGTACTTACCACTATACTATGACCGCTTTTGATTTCTATCGTCAATTCTACCCATTACGACCCACTCAGCTAGCCAAATTTTACACTTAACAGACTACCCGCCCAGATTCTAGCCAAAAATTCTATTGATCGGTTCCATGAAAAGCTCGTGCCCAGCCCAGAAGGCCTCGCTAAACCTCCAAATCTCTTACTTCGGCGGTTTTGACTGGTATCAACAAGCCGCCGATCGAGGGATGAGGTATGTGGCTTGACAGGTAGATAAAAGTCTGGGCACGAGAAAAACTCCGTCTAAAAGTGGGTTCTTCTTGAGGGAGGATGTTGAGGCAGCGTTTTGGGGACAAAAAATATGTGTGGTCACCAGGAATCGGACCTGGGTCTAGTCGGAGCTGCGAAGCCACAACGACTCGTACTTACCACTATACTATGACCACTTTAGATGTCAGGTGCCTCACATCACGCCGATACAAACCAAAACCATGCACCATCTACCTCGAAATACCGACACAATTCCAATCCCGAACTTTAGAATTAACGCAGCGTGTAAAATATGTGTAATTTTACAGTTCACGATGGTGCTGGCTATAATTACTAAGCCGCAGTGCTTTTTTTCTCGTGGTGCCTGGAATGGTTTAGCGCTATGGGAGGTGTTGTTAGTCAGCCGGGGCATGAACTGTCAGCGTCACGTGGTCGTGCATCCTTAGTCACCCCCGAGCTTGGCTATTCCTACACGACTCTTCCCTGTATCAAGCACCACCGGCGACGACACCTCAGACGAAGTCAACAAGATGTTCTCAATTTCAGAGTAATTGATATTCATAACATAACATGTGATAAACCAACAATGACCAAGAAACACGTAACATATGATGTCTGACGTTAATACGTGGCGCAAACAAGCGGCACAAATAAGAACAAGCGGCGCAAACAAACAGAACCCCATTAGAGTAATAACTGAAAAGAAAGTTTCGTCCAATATACCTCTATATGGGTAGTACTATATAATCCCTCCCAGTAAGTGTCATCCTCTGATATCACACCTCTCACAGCTGGTCGCTAATATTAATGCATCGCAATTATTGCCCAGGGCCGCCCATCTTCACCATCCCAACGTCCCTACCAATCACGCCACCTCCGTCGACTCCGCCCAACCCCCCAATTCCGACCTCTCCTCAGAGCTGCAACTTGACACCCCCTTCATCGTCTGAATCTGGGTTGGAGAAGACAAGCCTTGCATCCTGAAAAACGTCTGAGCCCGCATAGCTCGATTCTGCTTCTGTCATGTTGTCGTTATCAGGCTCCACGAATAAACTCCCCGGCTCGAACTGGGTGGGAAGCTCTTGGATGAGTGTATCATCAGGGTCGGATTGCGACATTGCATCCCGTGAAAAGTCTGAGCCTGCATAGCTCGCTGCTTCCGAAATGTTGTCGTTATCAGGCCTCATGAACGATCTGCCCGGTGAAAGCTGGGCGAGAACCCCCCCTCCTAGCTCGTCTGCCTCATCGCCTGACTCAGGCTCGGAGTGGACAAACCTAGGATCCCGGAAAAAGTCCGAGCCCGCAAAGCTCGCTGCTTCCGACATGTTATCGTTACCAGGCTCCATGAACAAACTCCCCGGCGCGAACTGAGTGGGAAGCTCTTCGCTGAGTTCATCATCAGGGTCGGATTGCGGCGTTGCATCCCGTGAAAAGTCTGAGCCTGCATAGCTCGCTCCTGCTCCTGAAGTGTTGTCGTTACCAGGCCTCATGAACGATCTCCCCGGTGCGAACTGGGTGGGAAGCTCTTGGCCGAGCGTATCATTAGGTCCGTAGTGTGACCTTGCCACGACGGTGGTTTCATCCTCGGATGCGTATTGCACCGAACTTGCGGTGGTGTATCCGGTATCAGGGCCGTTAAGGCTATCTTCATCGGAATATTTACTACTGGTAGCCGACTGATCTTCGTCGATGATTGTGAGAAGCGCGCGGTGGGGGCGCATAGGGGTGGTACTGCGGGGGCGCACGGGAGTGGTACTGCGGGGGCGCACGGGAGTGGTACTGCGGGGGCGAACGGGAGTGGTACTGCGGGGGCGAACGGGAGTGGTACTTCGGGGGCGCACGGGAGTGGTACTGCGGGGGCGCACGGAAGTGGTACTAGGTTCGGAGGCGGAGGCGGAGGCGAGAACCATCGTGCTTAATTTACTGTTCCCGTTGCGGGCATTCTCTTTATATTTTCTCACAATATTCGGGTCGATGGGCGCCGGATAGGGATTGGTGATACCCGTGGAGCTATCCGGGTGATTTGGCCACGGACCATCGACTTTCTCAAGTGATTTCGTAACGTCATTTCTCACTACCATGACCATGTTATTCATCGCAAATGTACGGGCCCTATCGCGGGCAGTACAGTTGTGAGCGTCGATGGGTATATCTGGTGGGCGCCATTTGAAGTAGATTTTTTGGTGCGTGCCTCGGAGTTCCATATCTGGTGCGAAAGCTTTGAGATAATGGTAACAAAGGTAGCAAGCAGCCTTTGAGCAGCCGATGAACATGTCTGTCGGATCATAGAATCGCCACGAGCCGGTGTCCGAAAAAGCATCGACAAGCTGCATTTCAGCATGCACTCGTGTCTTTAAACCTTTGCACGAATTCTGCAAGCTTCGTGGAATGTCGAGATTCCATTTATCGTTGAATGCAGCCAGTTTTTTCCGTTGTTGGTCAATTTGATTGCCCTTGTACATGCGCCCAATTATGCTATCAGGAGTGCATTTACTGGCCCTGAGCGGCCCATCGTCCTCCGCAGATGGGGGTATTAGGTGGATACGGATGCCATTAGAGAACAATTCACGGTGTTTTAGTGCAGTGAGTGTAATAATTTCGGCCGCTGGGATATGGCGCCCAAGACGGCCAACGTAGTGACGGAGGTCGGAAACTTTCCGGAATGGATTATCTCGGTGCTCAGCGGCCAGACTGTCAAGGAGTCTGAACATGATCGGGCTGCGGCCTAGCTGATAACATCCCCATACGGTATCTAACATCTCCTTTTGGTTTAGGGCTTCGTCGATATCCTTCACTAACCTTTTAAACTCTGGGCCTATGAAAGTACGGTTGTTAGACAGAATGAATGACCACGCTTTTAGCCAAAATTTGAATAATTGATAGAATGACCCCGTTATGCCCTCATCCAAACCACCCAGGGCATCCGCTCCTACCACCAGATATCATTTTTCTGTCGCCTGCCCAGGACAACAATTCTGTGCAACCACCCGCCTCCAGAAATTATCTCCCCGTCCATTATTCAAGTCCTAGGCGGCAATTTCACCCAGGGAATCCATCCGAAAATGCGGGTTCCGGGCGGCCCCCGAGCTTGTGCTACTCTAAGAAAACCGCGGGCGGCGGGCGGCGGGCGGCGGCGACAACCGATGAAAAATGGCGGTACCACGTAGGTGCCATCTTAGTAGGGCCACCCTCGGGCGCTAAGCAGAAAGGTTAATTTCGGAGGTGGCACAGATTGGTGCCCTGGACAGGTCCGCGACAGCACAGAATCGGGGAGAGCAATTTGAGGGGAACGAGATTGATGCCCGGTCTAGGCCCGAGGGCTAGGTTAACGGGGCCATTCTATCAATTATTCAGTAAAAACAGAGTCATTCTGTCATTTATTCAACAAATAGGGTCATCCTATCAATTTTGGCTAAAAAGATGGTCATTTTTAGTCTCGTTCCCAGTCGGGCGTTTTCTGTACTCACTTTCACCCCTAAAACTCAAAAAAATACCCAATCAACACAGGTTGGTCCTAAACCCCCCACATGCACAAGAAGCAAGCGACAGCAACAGCGAATACCAATTGCCACCTCCACGGCGACTCAAACGCGCGCACAAAAAGCCAGTTTCACAATCTCAGGTTCATCGGAACGATGGTGTGGTGTTTCCGCAGGTAGATACTTCTGCAGTGTTTCCAGTAGATTGGGTACTGCGCAGTGCGTTGTCCGTGCCTTAGCGACTAGCCAGCCAGCCACCACGAGAATTCGAGGCCCACATCCCTTGATAAATGCGTGCATCCTGCCGTGATTCGAACGCTGCCGTGCAAAAAGCCAAGAATTGAACCATTTCTGATCTATCGCTCATGCGGCGCTGTTCTCCTCTCCTTGTGGCATCTGCTGAGACCTCGTTGCGATGGGTTATTTCAAGCTACTTGGCTGTAGGCTTGTGCGCTCTGCAGATAGGGGACACCTAGGCGATCGAATAGTGCTCAATGGTTACGTAGGAATATTTTTTATACGGGATTTAGATAGGATAATCCCGTTTTTAACCAAAATTGATAGGATGACCCTGTTTACTGAATAATTGACAGAATGTCCCTGTTTATGGAATAATTGATAGAAAGACGAAATTATTAGAATGATGAATAGAACACATAGTCTGATAATACTCACCAATACTATTGACAAATTCCTTTCCAAAGACAGGGGGTTTAAGTTGTGTTTTAGCAAATCTCCGATAAGTCTTCAGACGAGAAGAGGCGAGGTCAACTATTTCAGATAGGATTACACCCTCCAGATCGGAAAGTTCCCTTTCGGTAGGATCATCCGGTAGTTTTCTCATATGTTCCAGAACGCTTTCTAGGCCCTCTTGCGTTTTGTCTTTCATTTTCTCGTTACAAGCAAGGACCAGGACTGGTTTTAATGTTTCGGGATCTTTTCCTAAAGCTGCTGCTGTCACAGTATCTCCTCCCTGTTCTGTATCGCAGATATAAGAAATATCCGATAGAAATTTGTGGAGAAGTTCGGGCGGGTCCAAGTCTTTAGCTGTCTTTTCAGGAATATCCCAGTATTCTCGACTGCCTCGTACCGGATCAAGTGCATGTAATAGTAACACAGGCTCAAAAAAGCGACGAAACAATTTGGGCCCAATGGGGCACATTTCCTGCTTTTTTGCGGAGGGTTTAGGCGTTTCTGCGAAGGCTTCCCGCGGAGGTTTTTTCTTCGAAGGCATGATTGTTGGGTTGTGCTCGCCAGAGGCTACTGGAGACGAGGGATCGAAAGGGTGATATATATAATCGAGACAAGGTATCCCTGGCTAGCACTGCATTCTTGAAAGCTACTTCTATCCCATCCTATATACGTAGAATCGAAGGGCTTGTGGTGTATCTCTCCCGCAAATGAACAACGGGCCGAGCCGGGCTCGCTATGTGCGGGGTACTATCTTTTTTCTGTGTAACCTGGACAGCGAATCAGCAGCAATGTGCGAGCCAGGGCGCTTTGGAAACTGTGGTGAGGACAATCCTGTTCGCGAACGCTGGCCGGCGCTAATTGCAAGTAAGGTGCCGAAGAAAGCTTGCAGGAAGTGCTGGCCATGTTTATTTGATTGAAGTCCTTTTGTTGAAGTTGCTGCACATTATGTAACCTACCTACAACACTCATGCCTATGAGGTCATGTAGATAGGCAGTCGTTTGGT